TCATTCCTATCCAAATAATATTTCTTTCTTACACTGAGTAAATTGTCTTTTTGTACGAATGAAAATTCTTTTAATGCACTTGTATTACGCTCGCTTTGTACATTAGCAGCCTTCTTGCTGCGCGATTATGCTTTTTACCGCCTACAAAGACGCTATCGTCTGTTCTTCGTATTTGATCGAATATTTCTACAATCTTTTCGAAGTAACATTCACAAGGTCAAACTGAAGAGGCATAGGCCTGTATATTAATATACTGCCAACCAGGACAATGAATCTGAAGGTGGATAGAGAGGTTCAAAGGCAAACTGCACTCGAAGACTTCCTGACACGTGCTCTGGTATAATACCGAAATTTGTGGGCTGACACCGAGGATGTAGTGTTCTGTCATGGGTCTGAATGCAAAACTGATAGAAAAACGCCACCAACTCTGAGGACTGTAAGAAGGTCTGGTGGTCGACGCTGGGTGTAAATGGCAACGGTTTTTTTTATTTTCATCTTACCACCAGCACTACGGTGGCAAGCGTGCCTTTGCATTTGTAACCATATGCCACATCGATTATGAGTAATACAGTACAACGATAAACACATTAACCTGGGTTTAACAGCTTTTTTGGGCAAGAACTCAACGGGCGACCCCAATCAGTCAACAGGATAGTCGTGATCTGTGGTAATAGGGGTTTAACGGGTGCGGCTAAATGATGGAAGTGAGCACGCGATAAAAGACTAATGTTTAAAATTGTGTATTTCCCGATTTTTTAAAATACATTTAGCATTTATTCCGCGTCTGAAGTTGCGGAAATGCAGGAGAATGAGGCTAATGGTTCAGACGGCAGCAATCTGAACCAAGTGCCCGAAGTGAGCCCAAACGGTATTAGACACCTCTACTTTTACATAATAAGTAGTTAGTAATAATAAGTACCCTGATTCGGGTCGCATATTGTGTCCTTGCCGTTTTTTTCTGCTTAACGAATAATTTTAAACAACAAACTTTCCCTTTTCACTGTTTGCTCTATTGTGTCAGATTCGCTGTACAACCGACGAGGCTCCCCACACGCATCTATCACCTGCGCTAGATTCCCAGATGTGGATGACCTGACTCAGGAAGTTAATAAAGAGCTGCAGGACAGCTGGCAGAATAGAAGGAGGCGAAGGAGAAGGAGGGAGGGTGAGGAGAGTAAGAAAGAGAAGGAGGAAGAGGGAGAGGATGGGAAGGAACAGCCCACTGAGCAGTCTCAGGATGCGGCATTCATATCCCGTCTGCGGAATGCAATCGCGGAGGCAGCAATCAATCGAGAAATCCTGAGACAGAAGTTTGTTCCAAATTACTTCCGTTCTCCGAAGGGAAAGGAGTTTTTGAAGCAGCAGGCTCCTCTGCTCTCGGTAAGTGACAACATTTTATGTACTCGGATATATGTAAAGTAGTTGGTTTTTTCTGCATCGTAGTTGCTTAAGCGATCAAGCGTCGACGTCCTTGAGTAACCACTTCCGGATGGGGGAGCCCACTTAAGCAAATAAAATTCCTTTAACCGCTGTTTGTGCTTTTTAATTTTGCATAAGTATTCCAGAATAATCTGTCTCAATAAAGTCCATAATCTGGGTTAACAGGGGAAGTTAGGGCTGTTCAGGTAACGGAAAGTTTATGAAGTCAGCTTCAGTACTTGGGAATGCCTGCAGATAAGATTTAGTCAAGATAACCTACCTCATCAGAATTCGCATGACCCGCTCACGTAGTAAGCGATAACATGAAACGTATGAGTGTCCGGTTGTTGTCCTAACCGCCAACACAGCAGCTAAACAGAACCTGACCACTAACGACAAAATTATTTAAATCCCACTAGTCATTCTCACTGATAAACTGTACGCATATATAACATTTCGTTCTGGTTAGCTACTATTCTATCCAATGCGCGTCAAGGGAAAAGGATTATAAGAATCGAGCGGCCTTCGGCAGATAGACCAGTCAGATTCTAAGTAAGTGCTGTGGCCGCAGTCTATGGTGAGAAGACGTCAACAGTATGTTGTCAATAGATTTTGCCGCGCCATCCCTTTGCATTTGCTCTGGCGATAAAGGGTTGACACCCTCTAGTAACAATTTTCGGATGGAAGAATCCACTTAAGCAGGTAAAATTTTTTAAGCACTGTTGGTGCTTTATAATTTGGCATAAGTAGCCCGAAATAATCTGTCCCAATAAAGTCCATAATTGGGTTAATACGGGAAAACATGGGAAAGTGCTAGCTGCGTAGATAACGAAGAGTGCTTATAGTTGGGAATGTCTTAATTCTTAAAAAGGGTCAAGCTCACGTACGTCGTTCATGTTGCCATGGCCATACCCTATACTAAGCAACAGCATAAATCCTATGTGTGTTCGGCTGCTTATAAAATATGCAATATGCTCTGTATAAAATGTCATATCTTATGAATCCTCAATACTGTTCAGTATACAGTAGCTAGAAATAATATATCCCTTTTCCTAGATAAGAGAGGATGTTTATTGACATTGTACGCTGTTAGCATTTGATTTACCAGAAAAAGTAAAAATTATATATGGTATTTGGTAATTAAAGGATGAAAGTGGCGGAGAAGATATGAAAATGGACACTACTCAGCTGAACGCACAACTTTCAGGGCCGAGGGGAAATGGACACCGCTCAACAGGTATAAAATTTGTTAGCAACCGACTAATTAAACGTTATTAACACGTTATCACAATTGCAATGTAATAATGTGGTCTTTTGCTCAAATTGACTATTTTTTACAACACAAATGAG